GGAAATATCAGCGAAAATATTTTGATTTCACTATAAATGACTTTCAGCTTCTTAAAAGGTTAAATTATTCTGAATTTTCTTCCAGTTCCTCACCAACAGATGTAAATATCAATGATTGGCATGCAGTGTTATTGACTGATTGATTGATAGTCCCTCCTGCATATGCTTTACTAAAAACTTTATCAGTGTCTTTTATCATTAATGATGAGAAAGACATATTTTATACTTTATATTAAAGATACTCTTTATGTTCCTTTATTCTGCAGTTGATTCCTGTGCTGATTTCATTACAACAGGTTGTCAGATAGATTTCCTGTTTCCCCTCTGAGACCTCTGACCACTGAGACTTCTCTGGGCTCACACTGCCTCAGATGGTAATTGTGATAGAAATGTGAAATCACCGACCTGTTTCCTCCCAACGAGTCCTGCAGCAGTCGGGTGAGTTTGGAGTCTCTGTAAGGCACATGTGACGACCGCTTGCTCCGGTCACCCAAAGCACTGATTACATTCCCCAGAGCGAGCTGCAGCAACACAGACGAAAACAAAGACGAGAAATGTGGTGATTTAACAGTTTGCTAACAGCTTTTTATTCCATCACTGCTTTTTGGATCATTAACCAAATAAGTCTGTTTGTAAAGTGTTAACAGTTTTTAGTCTGATGGTTTTCACCTCAGTCAGGCAGGTAGGAGAGAAGCTGTACGATGTAAAAGAGCCAAAGAGCCAAAGAGCATCACATGCAACAAATGCGTTTACTTTATACTAAAATATCTTCACTGGCTCTCTGTTGATTTTAGGATCCTGTTCAAAACTCTCACCCCTGCACCAGATTTGTATTTTATACATATTTTGTGAATTGTGATTCTTTGTTTTGTTTGTTTTTTGTGTGCATATAGTTTTGCTAGTTGTGCACTTTTAACTACGCGGCTCACGCAGTCAATTTGTCTTCTGCTTCCTTTCGTGTTGAATAATGCTCTTATGGAGCACTCTGTGACCTCTGTCTGTGAAACATGCCATATAAATAAATTTGACTTGATTTAACACAACTTCTTATTTTCCTGGTGATCCATGCGTAAAGTTTTATATTTTTACCACTAAATGTATCACCTGTTGATTTTCTCCACCCGGCAGATATCAGCCGATACTGATGACGTACTGATATTATTGTGCATCCTTACTTAAAATGTGTCCTTCCTTCATGAAAACACTGCAGCTAAAGCTCATTTAGCCTTTCACTGCTGCAATCAACACGTTGAAGCCACAACAATTCATCTATTAATGGATCAGTTGTCTACTATTAAACTCAATGCAACTTATTTTATAATCAATTTATTGGTTTGAGAAATTTTTTAAGGGGAAAAAAAGGTATAAAACCTGATTCCTGCTTCTTAAATGTGAATATTCTCTGGTTTCGTCACTTCTCTATGATAGTAAATTGAAGAGCATTTGGTTTTGGACAAAACAAGTAATTTGAGGTCGTCATGTTGGGCTTTGACGTTTTTCATGATTTTAGGTTAATATAGAAAATAATCCACAGATCAATCAACAGTGGAAACATCCCTTAGCTGCATATTAAAAGCATGCCACTCACAGGTTTAATAACAAAATATGTGGGGGGTTTTTAAAGATTATTTTTATGGCCTTTTTTTGCGTTTATTAGACAGGATAGGATGAGATTTTGAGTCAGGCCCACCACTACTGCAGGAAGGACATGGCCTATGTACACGGGTGTACACGGGGCACCTGCTCTTCAAGCTGAGCTACTGGGCGCCCCGATATATTGTATGTTTGTCCTTCCTCTGCACTGTATTTTTCTGTTCCAGTAGTGGATGATTTTTGAGGCTGGACAAGTATAAAATTGAGCCACTAGATGGCGCTCACGTTCTGGTTATATCAGCAGCTCTGGCTCTGACTCTACAGATCCTGCAGCAGTGACCCAGAGGACAGAGAAGAAGAAGCAGGAGGAGGAAGCTGCTCACCAGTCCACAGTTGATGGAGATGCCCTCTTTGGCTCGATCGCCCGTTGCTCCAGTTCTCTTCAGCCTCTCAGAACCAGCCAGATCCACAAAGTGGAACTTGGCCGTCAGCGTCTCATACTCGTCCATCTCAGAGTTTCCGTTGGAGACTCTGTTGTCAGTCTCACTTTCTTGCTGAGTAACAATGACAAACAGAAACACTGTTAGTGACACAGACATACACGACACTGCAGCGTGTTACGGGGACAGTGTCAGTTTAATTTCTGACAGCAAACTGGTAAAAAACTGAATCCCTCTGTGGCACAAGTCCTGTGTTCATCATATATATTTTTAGTGTAAGTCTATACTAACATTGTCGGAGGCACAGACGCGAACTTGGCACAGGTGGATGGTGAAGATGGCGTGGGATCGAGAGCTCTGGACGTTCATCTGAGTGCTGGCTGTGGTGCGAGACAGAGCGCCGAGCTTCAGGCACTGCATCATCTGAACAGGTGAAGAGAGAGAGCTTTAAATATTAACACACAGGTCGAACTCTCTGTGATGCAGCGGGGATAAAAAACAACAACAGTAAATACTCTCAGGCGTTTATGAAAGTAAACATCAGAGCAGGGATGAATTATATATGAGTCATAACGAGAGTGTGGGTAAAGACCCTGTGGTGGCACAGAGGTTCACGTTCAGCAGCGCAGATACATTAATAAATATTCATTACAGTCATTAATAATGACAGTTACTAACACACACACACACACACACACACACACTTGGTTACCTCGGCCTCGGAGGACACGGTCCGTGTGGTCACTCCTACGGTGTAGATCCCCCCGGTGGCGTCTTCGTGGATCTTGATGTGAGATTTCTGTTTCATGTCTCGTGTGGAGTCGAACAGGTCCAGAACCTCCTCGTTATAAAGCTGCACAGAGACAACACACACACACACACACACACACACACACGAAAATGATTTTAATCAGGCAGATACAGGACTTTAAATCATGGATTAAATCATCAACATTCACAGAAGATCTGTACGGAAGTTTTCACATTTCAAAGAATCATTTTACAAAATATATTAAACAAAAACAGGAGACAGAATTGAACACACAGATTACAGAGGACAACTGGACAGAGACATGTGAGACACTGCAGGTCCCTGAGTGAGTTTGGTTTGAAGAACACTGTGTGATTCTTCATCACCCTGAAACTAACAGCACTACAACAGGTCTACAGAGACACGGCTTTCGTTGGAGACCATGCAGAACCTCACTGACCGTTTATTGTCATGTTTTCTGGGCCAAATTCCAACCATATTAGCAAGAGATTGTAGCTGAGATTCACAAGATACTTGGAATGGATTTAGTCTATTCATGTATTACGTTATACCTCAGAAAAATACCTGAAACTGTCCCACACAGAGAGAGATATTTATTAAAGATACTTTTGGCAAATAGCAGATAAAACTTAACTCGCAAATACTTATGAGTTGACCCTCCAACATTGCTCCAACAGTTGGGGATTATAAACCAAATACACTGTATGAAAAGACTTTTATTTATTTTAAGGCCTGAGCTCAAGAAATGTACAAAATATTGGGAGAAATGGATTGTGTATAAACGCCGCAGAGAAAAGTGTGACACTGTATGCTGAGATGAAAGAGGAAAAATGTGCTGTGATTTGACTTCGTAACACCCGTCATGACTTCTTATTCTTTGTTTCTTAACCCACTGAAACCTGAAGTGACATCACTTTTCTTGTGCTGCTTACAGAAACCTTTCACAAAGATTTTTAAACCTTTAATTTGTGTGATTTCTTTCAAAAACATGGGGAAAAAAAAGCAGTGAGCAACTGGGTAAGACGTGTCCCACAGATTGCGAAAAATGAACAGATTCAGAAACTTATTTAAAAAGAAAAAACATTTAAAATTAACAATTTAAATTTATGTTGTTAAAAATATTTCTTTGTTTTTTAACTGTCTTTCTTTCTGTCTTTTTAATAAGTTTTTCTTCAAATTCTTGCAATTTTTTTGGGTCATTTCTTCTGTCACTGCCCTTTGCCTTCTTCCCATGTTTTTGAAAGAAATCAAGCCAATTTCCTCAGAGGTTTCAAAGGTTAAATAAAAAAATGTTATAAAAAAACCACAGAATATCTGAAGGTTTCAAACTCCAAACTCCATTTGAGAACTCTGGATCTTGACTTGGCTTTAGGACCGATATAAGAACCAAAATAATACGGCAAGCCTCCACTTGTTCTTTATTTTAGTTCTCACTGGCTGATTTTTGACTAAAACAGGTTGGTGAACATCTGGAAATGAAACCTTGCCGAGTCCATCTGTACTGTAAGCATTAAGTGCAGGAGTCACATCGAAGTGAACTGATGCTGCGTGTCAGAAATATTTCAGTGATGAGGTTTGACGGAGCAGTGCTAGAAAAAAAGACAAAAAGGCCAAACATAATTCTGTTAGTGTCAGACTGAAGTATCTGTCTGACATTTGCCTTAATTAAATATAAACTCTCTGATAATCACCATCATCCAAAGAGTTTCCTCTCTGAATAGATAATCTGTCGAACCTGCAGTGACGTCTGTTTCTCTTTGTGCCTTTAATTCAACATCTGTGACTCCTTCACGTCCTCAACAGTCTGAATTTAATTTAAGTTTCAGTGTCTCAGGATGATTTGGATTTTTCCAAAAAGCTTTCTGCATCTTGATAAACAAAATCTGAGGAGACATGAACAACTGTGGTGTAAAAAACAAAAGGTCAGATTTGGAGAATCTGAGCAGTAACTCAGTTTCTGTTGGAGACAGTTTTGTGTCTGAAACTATGTGACCGTTTGATTCCTAACCGCAGCTCATCCAGTTCCAGGTCTCCTCCTGGAATCTGAGCGCTGCCACAGTCTGACGGAGCGCCACAACTGTCTCCTCACATTATTCCTGTTAACTGCTTCCTGTCTGGACTGACACCCCTCCTCACACCTCCTCACCCCCCGATGACAGCTGCTGCAGTTCAATTGTCAGTGTGGATATTTTCATGTGATGCAGCGCTGGTGTCGCAGCTTGTTAAACGGGGAGTGTCAACAATATGAGCCTGACCCGTGACATCTCTGTCGAGCCTGCCGTTGGTGGGAGACACATTAGATTTTCTTTGCTTTATTCAAAGCAGGTAAACTAATAAAAACATGATGGATGAAGCAGTGATGGCGGTGCGCGTACCTCCAGGAACTGGGCATTGATTTTAAACTCAGGTACGGGGCGTCCCTGCTCCTGGGCGGCCTGTCGGCGCTCCTCGATGCCCTTGAAGAGGTGGTGGACAGCGCGTGGGATGATGCCCAGCTCCTCGTCTGAGATGTTGACGTCAAAGCCCGTCCCCATGGTGTACGTCTTCCCTGAACCCGTCTGGAAGGGGAGAGGGAAATACGAACACGCTGTTAATGGAAGTGTGATGAAACAATACTTCTACACAAAAGTATCCCAATACTCTGCTGTATCGATATGGTGTCAACAGACTGAGAAATGTCCACATGTATTTGACCTTATGGTGTATTTCTCCTGCGCCCTGTAAAGAGCACTTTGTGTATCAGCTTTTAAAAAGAACTTTACAAATAAAGAATCATTACTGTTGATTCATTCTGTCATGTAGAGTTCTGATTTACCTGCTTTTATTTTGTGTTTCCATCTATTTTAATGTAGTTTTGACCTCCTTTATTTCCCAGAATGCCCTCTGACATCCCCTGAGATGACCTCACTGTATTTCCCAGGGGGCTATGCACTCAGTCAGAGAGCTGGTTTGCCCATTTAGAATTAAAGGAGGCTTCTGTCTGTTTATTTAAAGAATGTCGCAAATTGAGTTGATTGTCAAAGAAGATATTTCTAACCATTCACCTGAACTTTACTTTGATTTTTGATTTAGCACAAAGAACAAACCAGTTTCAACTGACACACAGCAGACACCACAGTCCCTCTGAGAGGTCAGAGTTTGTACTTCCTCCTCTTCCTCATTTCCTGTCTGTTTCTATCTGCAGCCTCACCAGGCAGCGCTGATGTGATGGAGCCGAGTGGGTCGCTCTAAATCTAGATTGGTCACTGTAAAACTGCAGAGGCAAACAGGTCTGAGCCCAGCCAAACCAACAGCACTGTGTGTGTGTGTGTGTGTGTGTGTGTGTGTGTGTGTGTGTCAGAAGTAGGCCAGCAGTGACAGAAGCTGTTACTGGGGAGATATGGGTTAATATGGACTCACATTAAAGATGTATAGAGGGGTGTGTGTGTGTGTGTGTGTGTGTATGTGTGTGTGTGTGTGTGTGTGTGTGTGTGTGTGTGCATGCACTTTGAATCATGTGAGTGCCGTACAGCAGGAGTTCCATCACCACGGCAACCTAAGCTGCAGGGAGGTACAGGAGGAGGAGGAGGAGGAGGAGGAGGGAACCATGAGGCCCAAACTTGCATGTTATTTCCATGAGGTGAACTCAATGAAGAGGAAGTAGAAGAGAGGAGGGAGTGACTGAAGGAAAAGAGGAGCAGGGCGCTTGATGTGATGATATTTATATATTCATTCTATTTCAATGTGTTCATACTCATGTTTGTGATACAGTCATTTAAAGTCCTGTTTCCACCAAGCAGTTCAGTTCAGTTCAGTTTGGTTCATGTTTTTCCATCTCCACAGTGAAAAGTTGTGGATGGTACCAACAGAACGGTTCCTTAGCGTCCCCATGTTTGGTCCCCCCTCTGTTGGGGTACCTAGCACACAGATCTGGTACTAAAAAGTGGAGCTAGAAACCCTGCAGTCTGATTGGTCAGTAGAGGACGGTCACTCTGGCTGACTGCCGGCAACTTTTAAGGTGGAACGTTTACTTGTAATGTTACTCAATGCATGAGTTGATGACGTGAATCCATCAGCACACCTTAAATTTCACTGTGACAACTTTGACCATCACTTTAGTTTTTATATGACACACACTTTTAGTAATGACTTTAAAAATATAGATTAATTTGGAGCGGATTATGTGAAGGTCATATATTCTAATCCTCACTTCCTGTGGGCTACAGCAACACTAAACCCCTGAGCTTGCCTGAGAAGGACTAAATGCACAAAGCTGCTATTTTTATATATCCCATGGAGAGAGACTCTCACTGCAGCCTGTTCTATTTTGTTCTGAAAATGTGGCGTGCAGCCTCGTTCTGTGGACGATGAACCAGGTGCAGACTTCCATCTGTGTCACCGCTATCAACCCCGCCCACATTTAAGAGGACTGTCTGGACAGACCGAGGGTCTAGGTACCATGTCTGAAGGGTTACTGTTGGTTCCAAAGGTACTGTACTGAAAGGGTTTGGTGGATACAGGGCTTTACACATCCCACGTGGAACAAGCCACGATACATCATGTAAAATAGATACACTGCCCACCCCCACATACTGCATTACTAAGTAAGATGTTTATGTACTGTAGGCAGATTTTTTTTGTCCACAGACAGAGCCAGCTGTTTCCTCCTGTGTCCTGTCTTTATGCTGAGCTAAGCTGCAGAAACTGCTGGCTGCAGCCTTATAACAATGGTAACAACAATCTTCTCCTCTGACTCTGAGCAAGGCAGCCAATCAGTATATTTCCCAAAATGTGGAACTAATCCTTTAAAAACTACAGTTGGACAAAAACAAGGTCACAGAGGTTCAAATTCCACAACAGGAGTCTCCTCTGCTCTCCTTTCACCCAAATGTCAACGCTCTCCACCTCTCCATCACCCCCCCCCCCCGTCTCTCCTCACACACAGATACACAGAGCTCATTCCTCGACATCCACCCAGCTGTAAAGCACCGTCACCGTCAGCACTGCAGCTGTGACACCGAGGACAAAGACTTGCCTGTCCGTATGCAAAGACGGTGGCGTTGTAGCCCTCGAAGCAGCCCTCGATCAGCTTCTCCGTGCAGGTGGTGTAGATGGAGTCCTGCTGGGAGTCCATGTCGAACATGTAGTCGTAGGTGAAGGACTTGTCTTTGCCCAGGATCACCTGCGGCTCCCCGGGCATCACGTACGTACAGATGTGACATCCCTCGATCTTCTCTCGGGCCAGCTGAGGACGAATCCTGCAACACACATAAAAACAAAACATGAGGAATGAGGAAGTACACTTCCTGACCACTGTATTAGGTACACCTGTACAATCTGATGCAACCCATAACAACAGGTCTGTCACATATCCAGCCTTTATGGAGCTTAGAATAGACAGTTCTTATTAAAGCTTTCTGAGGAGGGTTATATTAACTCCATATTTATTACTGAGGAGGTCTTACTGATCTGGGCTCAACAAAAAGGATTCCTTGATTGCCCGGGGCAAGTTAAATGCCATGTTCGGCTAGTTAAGCTAGCCCGATCAGGCAAGTGGTACAAAAGGATTAAACACACTGAGTCATCTCACTTCCTTCTCATCTCTGTTGAGACATCTGCACTATTAATCAGGAACTTGTGAGAAAATGGCGGCAGTAAAGACAAAGTTTATGAGCTGAAGTGCAAGTGAGCATTTCAATGATCCTGAAAACAGGAGTTTAGTTGGGTGGCATTAGAGGAGGTGGGAAAAACTCCAACTTTGTATTGCACAGTTTACTGCAAGTTTGACAACAAGGCAGATAAAACATTGTTTTTCAAAGACACGTCAAGCTTCCGAAAAATGTTGCTTGAGTGCCAAAACACAAGTTGTTTAGTTTTCTGTTTTTTTGATGACTGCTGATACATCAAACAATTTGTACTGTACATGTACCAACAGTCCAGCTCTAGAGCCTCTTTCCAGATTTTTTCAAAGACAAGACAGTATTAGAGTAATAAGGAGCAGCATGAATGGCAACTGTAAAATATCGTATCATAAAATTTAGGTCCCGACCGATATGGATTTTTTGGAGCCGATGTCGATTCCAATATTATGGAATAAAAAAATCCGATAACCGATATATCGGCCGATTAAATTTTTACGTTTTTCAACTTAAAAAAACCCGAATTACCTGCTTTTGATGGCTTAAATATAGTTCAAACACTCGTTACAAATATATAAATTGAAGGAAGAACATTTTACTATTTTCAAATACTTTTATTATCAGAAATTGTGTGGAATTGGGGCGTCAGTAGTATAGTGGATAGTGCCGGCGCCCCAGGTACAGAGGCATTGCCTCGCTGCAGCGGCCGCGGGTTTGAATCCGGCACGCGGCCCTTTGCTGCATGTCAGTCCTCACTCTCTCTCTGTCTCCCCATTTCACCTTCTGTCCTGTCAATAAAGGCAAAAGGCCAATAAAAATAATCTTAAAAAAGAAATTGCGTGGAACAAGCAGCATACGAACAATTTGAACACAAAATAAATCAAAAATATGATGTGCAAAATGATGGGGGATGACATGTAGCAAAGGGCCCCAGGCTGGACTCGAACCTGGGCCGCTGTGGCAACAGCCTTGTACAGGGGGCGCCTGCTCTACCCACTAAGCCATCAACGCCCCAAGGACATCATTTCTAAGTAAAACACCATATTCCCTGCATTTTATTAGTGATGAAAATATAAGTGTTAACATCGGCCAACTTTTGGCCGATTGCCGATTATTCTCTAATGGCTATAATCGGCCGATTAAATCGGCCGGCCGATAAATGGGTCGGGCCCTAGTAAAATTTAACTTGGACAATCAGCTTCTTCCATAAAGGGCTGGTAAATCTGAAACACATCACCGACTGAAATCAAACTGATCACAGATTTAAAATCCTTCACAACAAAAGGTCAAAGGCTGGTTAAAAGCAAATCAGAGCTGGAGCCACACTCAAACGTCTACAGGGTATTAATGTAAGTGTTTTTGTGTATTATTGTATGTGTATTTTAGTAAATGTATTGTGGTATGTGTATAGTGGTAGGTCTACTGTAGTCGATGTATTGTAGGATATGTTGTGATATTTGTGTTGTGGTCATTTTTACTGTGGGGTGTGTATTGTAGTGTGTGGATTGTGGTTTATGTATTTTATTGTGCCATGTTTACAGTGTCTTGTGGTTGTATGATGTTTTAAACTTTATATTTTTAATAGCATTGTAGATCTACATGTAAAAGTCCAACTAGGGACAAGAGTTGAAAAAACACATCAGTCTCATACTCATACTACTGGAACTATGTTAAACTGCATCGTCCCTATCAAATAAAAAATAAATAAAAATGCAGAACATGATGATGTCACAGTCAAGATGACCTTTGACCTTTTGGACATAAAATGTCATCACTTCACATTACTGTTTCACATTACTGTTAGACATTTGTGTGACGTTTTGTCAGAATTACTGTGTGAATTCTTGAGTTATGGCCAGAAACATGTTTAGAGCAGCATATTCTAATCCACAGCTATTGCTTAAAAAACATTACCACTGAACCCTTGTGGTTCTGAACTGGATTACATCATATTAAAATGTGTTTCCAATGTTTATCTACGCCTCCTGTTTGTAAGTGGGACGTGCAAAACATTAGAAACACCTCAACATCTTTTGAAAGCGCTGCAGGGATTCCTGTTGAGTATCAATGATTCACATGAAATGTAAATATGCTGCAGCAGTTTAAAAGCTCATCTGAATACAAACAGGTTTCACCAGCAGCTACAAACATAACCTGTTTACTCAAGGACACATTAACAGGACGTACAGTAGCTGCTGAAATGTGCCGTACAATCACTGCTGTGGGGATCAAACCTGTGGATCACTCTACAATCCTTTCACCATGCTGATGAAGAAGTCGGCACAATCATGGAGCTGCTTCATTAAGAAGGAAACTGGAGACAGACACATCATAATTACAGCGCTGCACCTGCATGTTTTCGACTCTCAGCTCAGAGTCAAACTTCCTTCAGATGTAAATTCTGAAACTGTAAATCTAAAATGTTATTTTGATTAATCCTGAATCACAGAAACATGCTGAGCTTGTTTTTGTAACTGCAAACATTTTCATTTGCTGCAGATGTTCAGTTTCTGTGCAGCAGAGTCTGCAGGGTTCAACGTCGTAATCTGACCCAATACTTTGTCCCATAAAACCTGCCAGCTGGGTTAATATGTACTCATTTAGTCTGTCTGTCTGTACGTGTGTCTGTCTGTCTGTGTGTCCGTGAGTCTGTCATGAAGCTGAAATGCTGTATGTTAGTAAAGCTGCCCCGACAGACTGAAATCTGTCGGGATTAACTCGTTTACTGTGGACATGAGAGGAGAAAGACAGAGAGAGACAGAGGCCCTGTGGGCTGCAATTAAAGTGAGCATTTATTTCTTTAGTGAAAGAAAGATGGTGTATCCAACAGTATAATTCAAGGACACAGACAGTAGAAACAAAAGCACAACTTCTCCACATTATCCCGTCATCACAGTCTAATACAAGGATCTAATTAAAGCCTCATCAGTTTCTAACATCTTGACAGTATAGGTTGAAAATAACCCCCATCCTAAATTTGATAAAGACAAAAAAAAGGCCTGACAACAGTTACAGCCGTTATAAGCTGTAAATATCTATATCAATACTGTTGTATTTTAACCCTGACAGAAAGTCTCTTTAAGCAGGTTAGAATAAGACTTCCATTATTCCTCACACACACACACACACACACACACAGTGGGGAGCAGCTCAGTTAGAGCAGAAGTCTCCTGCACCCTCTTATTACACTCAGGACATTTATTGAATCAGTACATCAAACTTGTGTTTCAGGCCCTCCAGTCGAGCGTCAGCTGCTCAGACATGATGAGAACATGAGAACTCACAGTCTGAAGGTCTGCAGGGACCGAAACATTAGTTTGATGTACTGATTCAGTATCTTCCAAGAGCGCTGTGCACGAATCTTCTTTAGTACAAGACACAGAGCTGTTCTACTTTTAACCTTGTGCTTCATTAAACATGTTCTAATGTAATGGTTATCAAACCTAAACCTCCAGCAAGCACCACAACACTGCTGTTGTCCCATCACAGCAGGGACTGAAGGAAGGAACTGACCAATGACAGTAGATTATTGAGGGTGTAACGCAGCAGCATCACATCATCATCTATGTTCTCTTCACTCTGTGGTTAATTGTGACTGATCTTTCAGAGAGTATGGCTCTGTGGTTTCAATCAATCAATCAATCAATCAAACTTTATTTATATAGCGCCTTTCATACATCAAAAATACAACCCCAAAGCGCTTCAAACAAACTCTCCTCACGAGTTCAGCTCACAAACCGGCCTGAAAGAAAAGCACCTGACAGCGGCCCTGCCAGCCTCTCTGTCCTCTGAGGATAAGGGCCTCATTGTGCCTCTGTGTTCAGGGGGAGAACAATGCTGCAAGGGGAGCACAGAGCAGCCATTGTGTCCGTCTGTGTGACACTGGATCCCGGCGCTGACACCAACGCCACGGCTGGAGGATTACATGGCTGGACGGAGGCGAGGGAGGAGAGGTAATGTCCTGCTGGAGGTCATGGTGTGTCCGCAAATAACTAGTCAGTCGAGTCAGTGATGAAAACTGCTCTTTATTCATCTCCTGGCTCTTTGTCGTAACACTCAGTGTTGTTACATTAACTCTCAGGCTGCTTGACTCCTGGTTGATTTTAATGTTGGTCACTGATGAGATCCAGGCTCGTTCCTCTGTCGCACTTTGTCTTGAAAAATATCAAGAAACCACCTTTATCGTACGGTACTGATACAGCAGCAGACAACTGTAAAAACTGAACTTGACGAAGGTTTTTTCATATCAAAACATTTAAGATTTTCCTAGAGCAATATGGTTGACCTGACTGCCTCGAACCTTCAACCACTGCTGCTGTTTTGTTTTGTTTTTTCAGCTGTAACCTGGTGGAGTAAAGTGAAAGGGGGACAAATGAGGACAAAGACCAGGTGAGACGAAATGCAGAGCGTTATCATGCAGCCCGACCAGCTGTGTTCTGAGTTACTTATAAGTTAGAGAAACATTGTGTGCAATAGTCCACCTTCCACCTTCTCTCCCCTTTCTATCACTCTCTAACACACACATAGCAGCACTACGTCTTACTAAAGCAGGTTTGGCTTCGGGTGGTCTCGTCACATCTCGTCAGAGCTTCAAATATTGAGTCAAACAATGCAACATT